AACACCACTACAACCACCACGACCACGACCACGACCACTACCACTGCTGCCGCTGCTGCTACTGCTACTACCACTACCACTACTACTACTACTACTACTACTACTACGACGACGACTACTTCTACTACTGTAGCATGACAACAGTTTCCAAGATGCTCAGTAGAAAGCGGGCTGTCTCCCAGTCCAGGCCCCACGCATTTCCCAGCTCATTGCGGTGCCTTCCGCCGGTGGTTTGCCACAGGCGGTCAGAGTCTCCGAGTGTTTGGATGTCCGGAAGTGTAGAGAATTGATAGTGCGGCATCCTCACAGACTCCAGCTGGGCGATGAGTTTTCTTCAGCCTGCTTGATGTTTATGACCATGCCGCTATAAACCAACTGGAGTTATAATCTTCCAATCATGCGATGGCTCTGCATCTGAACCAAGCTGGCAAATTCGAGTAATTGTCACCCACGACCTGGAGGTGCGAAGGTGCGTCTGCACCTATGATGAAGATCGAACTCGTTTCTATCCCCTAGCTTGATGGTGCCCTTCCGGAAGTCGTCTCTCTTCCGGCAGGTGGTGTCGCCTTGCTCGTCGACACGCTCAGCCCCCACCTTGACGGAGGCATCGACTCCTGCTGAATCGTGTCCTTTAGCTGCTGGCACTATGTGACTGTGGACTCTGCTCGTGCATCGTCTGCAGTTCGGGCACTGTAGGCGGCGGATGTCACATGCACGATGAGTGCACTGGTTGCTTGACGTCGCTTCGTCACCTCCTCCCCAGACAGCTGCACCCACGAATGCTTGGTTTCCCTTCTGCCGTCGCAACACGGAGTCAAGTTCGACGAGTGGCATTCAAGAGGCAAGCGCTCAGTAGTACTCAGGCACGGTCATGAAGCCCACAGCCCCCGACAGACGCATGATCTGACAGGGGGTGGACAGGGTGTCAACTGTCGAGACCATGGCGTGGGGGGGGGGGGGGGGGGGGTGCGTAAACTGCAGTGGCCAGTCGGTGGCAAGCCGTGGGTCTTTGGTGAGAGTCTGAGAGTCGAAGACAAAGGTTGAAAGATGCATATCGAACACTG